CGACACAATTTTACTCGTGACAATTTGTGCATCTTGAAAAGGTCCAATCAGATTTTATCCAGGTATTTAATGGTATATTTTTTTATCAAATTCTACATACTTTGATTATTTAAGATAAATATTTAGATATTTTTGAATTTTTTGATCTATATTATATTTGTATGTTAAAATAAAAATATATTTTTTAATAATTTTGAATACAAGAAAAAAATTGTTTACTTAATTTTCCTTTATAATACATATAATTCTAATTTCTTATTTGGTTTTTGTTAAACGCACAGCTAATTTTATTTTTTTAAAAATGTAAATGCTTTAAATTATTTAAAACCATGTGTATGGATATTAAATTAATCTTAATAATTCCAGACTTGAACTTACTATTTAAAAGTAGAGCATACTTTTTACAAACACATAAAACAGTTTAAGATTAATCGGTAAGAAAGATTATAAAAAGGCAATTGGTTATCATACCGAGACAAATTATGAATATTATGCATTTGACGTTTAGGAGAAATATTAAAAATTATAGTAAAAGTCAATAACAAACGCTGTGAAGTTTTCCTGGAAACATTTTTATTGCAAAACTAAATGTTGTATTACAAATCTGTTTAAGACAACTAAGAAATAATCATAAAAAGTCAAGAATATAGCAGAAAAGTAAATTAGAAAATATATTTTATGTTATGGACATTTACAACTAGTCAGTAAAAAAAACAAACAAATGCAAAGGTTTATTATTCCTAACGTTAAAATATTATTTTTCAAATCTCCTACTATATTTATTTAATACCTATCTATTTTAAATATTTATTTTCATTAAATTGAAACCACTCTTTTATTTCATCGTTTTTTACTGGAAAAATACGAAATAATAATTGGTTTCTATTTGTTGCTAAAACTTTATTACGATATATATATTCATATAAATGTTTGCATGGTTTATTAAGGCACGTTTTCTAAAAATATTTTATTGTATACAGAATGTTCCAAAAAAATAATGATGTTTTATTGTTTATTAAAATGCAACCCACATTTCTAAAGAGAATTGGATTCAAAATAAAATTCTTTTATACGGTATCCTACTTTATTTGAAACGGTATTGACGTTCTATTTTTTAAGTGAATAAAATGTTAATTAAACACACTACATCCAAAATGTGTTTAAAAACTGGAGTGAATTTAATTTTATTGTTACTTAATCACCAAGGATATTAGAATAAATTTGTAGAGAAAAATTTACATTATCTTGTACCGGGTATTTTATAAGGCGTCGCTAGCATTCCAATATTTAAAATGCTATAACTGTATCATAATTTTTGATAAATGAATCATCCTGTATATTATTTTTCTTTTAGATTTTTTAGAATTAAAACATCAACATGTAAAACGTTAAAATCATTTTTTAATTCTGCACCTAAGAGAAAAATAATAAACATAGTGTTCAATTTAAACAAAATTGAGATATCAGCATCATAATTTTCAGCTTATTCAAACATTTTCAATTATGGTGTAGCCTCACGCATATATTTAAAAACTTTCTTTGTAGTTGGACTCATTAGTGTATATTGTTGATTATGCGGGCCCAAGTTATCCCTGCTAAATTTATAATATCATGGTCCCATCTCAAGTTTGATCTTCTTCAAGGTCTCTTAATTCCTTGTGGATACCATACTGTAATTTTTGTGCTCCATCAGTTGCTATCCGTCCTTCTTGCCAGGTGTCCTGCCCATTGCCAAATGAGGAATTTGATTCTGTGGATGACATCTATTACCTGGATCTTTTGTTGTATTCACTCTATTATTTTACGGTATTTCTTGGTTATTCCCAGCATAATTTCGTTCCATTGGGCGTTGTGCGAACTGCAGTTTCGTTATAATGCCCCTTTTAAGTGTCCAGGTTTTTGAGAGGTAAAATTGAGATATAGAATTCTAAATCTTGCATTATTGGCGATACCTTAAAAAATACCCTATATAAGATATGTATTTTTTTGCGGGTTGTTATACTTAATATTTAGAAATATATAGATTAATAAAGTTATATGCATTTCGGTTTTTTACAACTCTTCGAATGTAGAAAACGAAAAATTTTAGTAAATACCAAGAATTGTGAAGCATGTGAACCTTTATAATGCAATATTTATTAATAAAGTTTTTTTCATCTTCGACAACAACAACGATATTCGACTTTCTCGCACTAATGAGCTATCTGTATATATCAACTTTAGATAATGCAACTTCAAGATAGATGTTAAAATTATTTAATACTTAATTAGGCAATATGGATCCATATAATGCGGTTTATGACTGGATCTTGGGATAATCGTTTCATATTAACTCAGTAATATGTTTCGATATGAATGGCGGTATACATAGAGAAGTTGAATTTAATACAACCATTATGGCAAGTGGTGTATCAGGAGCAGACAAATTATGCATATGCTTTTGACGTTGAAGATTATAATTATAGATTTCGATGAAAAAACTATAGGTAACAAATTATAACATTATTATTTTAATAAAATACTCATAAAATTACTCTGATATTAAGGAAGAAAACCAGATTAAGGAAACATTAGAAAATAATAAAATCATGATAAAGTCCATTATGTCATTTGTTTCGAGGTTTCCAAAAAAATTTAAAGTATGAAAGTTATAGGGAAGATTAAAATAACAAATGTTAAAATTATTACAGAGTATACAGAGTGCTTCAAAAATGTAGCGGATATAACATGGTTTTTTTAGATTCAACACTATGTTTTATTTTCTTTTTAGATTCTGCGTAAAATTCTTTAACTTTTTTATATCTAAAATTAAGTTTATTAAGTTGGACTCTACTAGAGAGATGAAGAAAAAAATATATGTAGATATATTTTAGTTAGATGCTACAGGGTGTTCAAAATATATTTGTGAATTTTGTCTACTTAAAATTTAAAAATCTAAAATTTTTTAAATGGCACACCCAATATATATTTTCTGATAAAAAAAGTCCTGTAATTAATATACTAAATCTTAAAATTCGAATGAGATATGTTTGTGTGATGAATTTTTTCTATTTTAAAAACTGCTAGCATATTCAATACATTAGTCAATTGGTAATTATACATTTTTTTAGTAAATTTCAAAAATCTTAAAATTGCTTAGAACCGAAGAAGGTATGCTTTGACGATTAAATTACAATCATTACTTTATTTCATAAAATTTTACAAAGCAAAATAGAACAAGTAATTAATATTTTACTTATTTCTCCAAAAAAATCCTTTATGGGTATTTCGCCACTGCACTGCAAGAAAAATCTACAAAATAAAATAGTTATTTTTTGTAAACACTTCTGCGTTAAACCTAAACGGACACTGCTTGTCAAAAGTTATGTTTGCAGTAATACAATTTTGCCTAACAAAGAAAAAAATGCTTAACGTTTCGCAAAGTTTATCTCTTTCCGTCGTCGGAAGCAAAAAATTACAAAGAATAAAGAAGAAAACTATTTAAAATATTTAAATTCAACTATTCGAGAACACTTTACTTTTTTTAAAACAGATACATATACAAGAAATCGTTCACGTTCTGTTAAAATGACATTATATCAATCCGCCATATAAGTATAGACATTTTTAATTTGCTTATTGTTATATTATATTAGTACAAATTTCCAGATATGCATAACTCTATAATATCCCATATTTAGTTAAACCTTTACTGCAGAAATTATTAAGATCTCAACTTTATTTATAACTCAATTAGGATGCTGAGAATCCCGGTAATGCGTTTTCTAACTAGATATAGGTATAATCGCTTTATATTGATCCAGTGATATCATTTTATATGCGTGACAGGATTGAGAATATGAATTTAATCTTGCCATAAGCGAAACATCGCCATGAAAGAGAGGCAAAGATTATAAATATAAAGTGTGTCTCATACTTAGACAAATTATAAACACACTTAATGACCGTTAGATATTATTACCAAGTAAATTAATATGACGAAAAACAAAAGCAGATGCTATGGACTGTCGTATAACATGTTTCATATAATATCATTTTATAAGACTGTACATAAGATTGCATTATGTGTACCGGAACTTTTAGATATTTGTTTAGCTAATTTAAGTGAAATATAGAAATTTTAAATAATTTTCCGATGCACGTCATCAATCATATCGAAATTGACACTAAAGCCTACAAACCTGAGTAAATGAAATTTTAGCAAAAATGTTTAAATTTATTGACTAAATTAAAATACCAAGCAGCTCTTCATTATGCTTTATAGAGCAAATGATTGTAACAGATATTTTATTTAGATTAAAGCTGGAAAAATTAGTTTAAACCGATTTTTATTATCGCCTTGTTGGGTCAAATTGCGCCATGTTCAGCAGTGTTGTCGTCTATTATTTGACAATTATCCTAGTGTCAGTCATTATTTTATTTTTTATAATATGGTGTTGTTGAATTTTTGGAAATAATTCTCGTTTTTTGCCGTTTTTCATAGTTTTTTTTTCTTAAATTGTACTTCTAAACACAAACGCTTCTTTAAAGAACTAAATTTTCTAGATTTTTTACTGTATTTTTTGAAATTGTGAACTAAAAATATGCCGAAGCCTTTAAACAGTCAAAACAAAGCGCTTATAGCTTCCCTGATAAAATATTTTGAGCGCGAACGTGACAATAAAGGTCCTTTATTACCCTTGAATGCAGTCAGAGAAATAAGATTGATTGGTAAGCACATTATACCACTTTCAAGTTATTTCTACTTATTTCAATTTGTAGCGATTTACATACTAAATATATTGTTTATCACTTTTAAATTAAGATTCATCTCATAAATCCATCACAATCTGGCAGCGCTGTCGCCATCGGTTGTCACTCAAAGTTGATGACGTGCATCGGAAAATGTTTTAAAATTTCTATATACTGTCAGCAAGATAGACCCCTCACAACTTTGAGAGTATCAGAATTTTGTTAAACTTTCAAAGTAAAAAAACGAATACGGACCTATACGATGGGCTTCCTGATCTCCGCATTTTTGAAATATAAAATATATCATGGCAATTACAACAATGTCGAAGACCTGGAAAAAGCTGTCGGGTAAGCTTTTAGTTATCTGCCAAAATAAAAGTAAATAAGTAAAAATAAATAAGTAAAATATATTCAAATACTAAGTGGTAACAGTTTAAAAGTAGAGTATTTCAGTCCCAACTAAAATTTTAACATGTGTATGACTATTTCAGTATATACCATTTTGATTTTTTTGTTATCCATTACGGCCTACTAATAAGTTAACGATATCTTATAGATATTGTGAATATATTAGGTTTGTTCCAACCCGCCGTAGAACCGTCACCGAACGATCACGCTCGTGCGCAGTAATTCAAATGTGTTCCAACCGAGATTTGATGGTTATCGGACGATCCTATTTGCGTACCAACCTACCTTGGGATCGTTTGGTTACGATTTCAGAACGGTAATTTTGATACATGGTCCAAATTGAGAACTGTTTGGGTTGACTTGCGCATTAAAGCATAATATTGGCAGAGATTATCGATTTTTAACAGCTGATTCTGTTTCGGCGTCCGGCTGATGCTTATGTCTTGGTTATTTTTTACGAATTCGAATACGTGTGCGTTATACTTTGCATGTAAGTTTGTGTGGAGTAAATCGTTCGGAAATTTTAATTAATTTTTTATTTATAAAATAATGTTCAAAGATTCTACCACTGCAATGAAATAACAGGAAACAACGCATAACAGGATCATAAAAGAGAGGATAGGTAAGTGAGTTAATGCGTATACAGTTGAAACAACACTTACCAACAATTACTGAATACTGATTCTCTATTTCAAGAATAATAATAATTATTATTGCAAATTGCAAACAAAAATAATAGGGTTATGTTATAAAATTCTAAACAAAAACAAAAAAACGATCGATACACGCACGCTTGACACTTTTGCCAGTCCCGAAAACAATCCACAAAGCGTTCCAACGTTGATACTTTTTGCACCGTCACGAAACTATTCGAAGTCTGCGCATGCTAACAAAGTGCAAGAAAATCGATTCGAGTACGATTTGGAAACGACCCCGAAATGCTGGTTGGAACAAACCTATTATATTCTATTCTATTCTTTTATTTATTTTCTGATATTTGTGAAAATAAATATACAGTGATATATATTTTTGAGAAGGTCATAGGTAAAACGGATCATATGATTTGTAAATATATAAGGTGTTCCATTTCAAAAAACATTACTTTAGTTCATATTTTCAAAAATATTTTTTAGTAGAAAAACAAACTGCACCACTGTATTCAACGTAAAAAGTCTCACCTTCTGGATACTATTCGCATTAACGGAGATACAAAGATCCTGTAGCTCAAAAACTAAGAGGGCAATAAAAATTTTGTTTACTGCATCTTCCGTTTGACAAAAAACTGGTACAGGTTTGTGCAATCTACATTGGTTGAAATCATACATGCCATATGATTTCAACTAAAATGGGATACCCTGTACACTGTACATCAATACCCCCCCCCCCCAACCTATTCTCCAAAGTTATATTTCTACATGTAGATTTATATTATTAATTAATTTAGGGCAATCAACACAAGCCATTTTATGGTAAGGCTTTTGTGTGGTAACGAAATAGATTAATATTCTAATTACATAGTAAACTGTAATAAACAGCTCGGTAAACCAGTATTTATACTTGTCATTAGTATCAACTAATATACTAATTTCTATTCATACTTTGTGAAAGCGTTTTTAATACTACTGCAGGATACAAACTTGCATTGTTAAATAATAAATCTGTTTTATATATTTTACTTATAGATTTATAGTTCTTTACTTTTAAAAATCTGTAAGTTAGAAATTTAAAAATAATTATTAATGGTTTTTTTTAGCAGAGTCTAATATAAGGCGACCTACTTAAAAGATTGATTCTTTTTCTGTTTTTACGCCAAATTAATTTAGAAGTCGATTTCTTTAGTCATTCATTTTATTCCTTTCTCTTGACGTATTCTATTAGCCTTTTTGAGACTGTCGTTAACAGATTATTATTAATTTTTGTACTTAAACTTTACAACCTCAAGATGATAAATTTGAGTCTTTTTTATTTAATTTTAATAAAATTTAATGGTTGCATTAATTTGCAAAATAGTCGAAGAGACACAAATTTTGTAATTATTTCCCAGCGGGCCCCGTTTTGTAATTATTTTCCCCTACAGGGTTGTTCACCACATACGACATGGAGTATTGTAGCTAAACGATTAGATTTTTACAAACTGTAAGTTTTAGGTTTATTGAAGGACTATTAGAGGTACATTTTAAAAATAATTTTATAAGATACAGAGTGTCCCAAATAAGTAACAAATATTATAGTTTTATTTTTTTTTAAATGGAACACCCTGTATTTTATTCTATTTTTAGATTCTACAGTTTAAAGAAAGGCAAATTTGATTAAGGTTTATCACACTTAAACCTTACCGTTTTTGAAACATTTTCAATTTTGTGAAATTCCAGTAAAAAATTTAAGGCTTCATTTCTCCAAGGGTATTAAAGGTTTTAATACTAAATACAGGGTGGCGCACCTCATTCGCCTCGGTTGATTATACGAAAACGGAAAGACGTAGAAACAAAATATTTTATGGCTATATGTGGGGAGACAATGTGCACAATTTAAAATTATTTTGAAATATACAGCATGTTTCAGAACTAAGATCCATACCAAAGTTATATTTTTTCTTATGGAACACCCGGTATTTTATTTCATTTTTGGATTCTTGGGCCTAAAAAAAGGCCTTTATTACAGCTACAGGGTTAAATATGTTTAAAATCTTTAGTTTTTGAGATATTTAAAGATATTTAAATTTGCATGCTGCAATATACTAGATTATTAACAACCTGTACATTACTTTTCAGAATTAATTCTTATGCTGAGTTAAAGGTAGAGAAATAAACTTTACTGAAAAATGGTATAGCTTCATTAAATTTATACAGGGCTACCAAAAGTTGCTGATCTATTTTAAGGTTATATTTTATATAAAAACTTCATTATTTCAAATGCAACACCCTGTATTTTATTTTTTAAAAGAAATCGAAGCAGATTTAAATGCTGTTTCAAACTATATTAGGTTTCCCTATACCTATCTAGCTCAGATTTTGAATAAAAAGCGATTTTTAAATAAAAGTGCAATCAAGATGGCTTGTGTCATCATGGCAATTTTCTAGTGACAGTTTAAGTAATTATTTTCAAAGTCGACATTAGTTTATGAACATTATTATTTATAATTTATAACAATTTACTTAAATGTACCTACAATTGTTTAATACGTAAGTATGCATTATTTTATCAAGAAAAATAAAGCAGTATCTGCTGGCGGAACGAATACATATGTTACTAGTGATTTTATTTTGTGAGTAAAATTGCTTCTTGGCCTCAAAGGGCTTATGCTCAAAGATATGCAACTATTAGGTTATTACTATTAGGCAGAAACCTGTCGTTGGAAGTGAAGAAAATGAATTTGTCGTATTTGGCTCTTTTATAGAAAATTTATATATCTACAAGTCATCGTAAAATAAATCAAAGAACTACTTTTTTGTTTTTCTTAATAGAATAATAAATACATATTTAATAAATATTATTTATTAAACTATTGTAGGTAAATTAAATAAATGTAAACTGGTATAAATTTAAATAAGCCCATAAACTAATTTCGATTTTGAAAATAGCTACTAACTGTCACTGGAAACTTGCCATGACAACATTAGCCATCTTGGTTGTCATTTTATTGAAAAATTGCTCTTTTTCAAAGGTATAGGAAACCCTAATATAGTTTGAAAGAGTATTTGAATCTGCTTCGATTTATTTAAAAAAATACAGGGTGTTGTATTTGAAATAACGAAGTTTTTATGTAAAATAAATTCTTAAAATAGATCAGCAATTTTTGATACCCCTGTATAAATTTAAGGAAGCAATAACATTTTCCTGTAAAGTTTATTTCTGTACCTTTAAAATCAGCACAAGAATTAATTCTGAAAAGTAATGTATAGGGTGTTAATAATCTATTCTATTGTAGCATGCAAATTTAAATAACTTTAAATAACTCAAAAACAAAGATTTTTTAACCCTTATAATAAAGGACTTTTTTTAGGCCCAAGAATCCAAAAATGAATTAAAATACCGGGTTTTCCATAAGAAAAAATATAACTTTGGTATGGATCTCGGTTCTGAAACACCCTGTATATTCCAAAATAATTTTAAATTGTGCACGTTGCCTCCCCACATATGCCCATAAAATATTTTTTTCTACATCTTTCCGTTTCCGTATAATCAACCGAGGCGAATGAGGTGCGCTACCCTGTATTTACTGAAATTTATTTATTGATCAGATCTTGTGTTGCAATAATAAAAATTATACTACCTTATACAGAGTGTCCAAAAATTTGTATAAAATAATTACTAGCTTTACAAAAAGAAAACTATTTAAATCTTTGTAAAAGGGTATACCGATTATTAGTAATTATTAATATAACAGCAATGTAATTTTGGCGCCGCGCCGGTAGTGCCGAAATTAAGAGTCCCAATCTATTCCAACTGCCTTCAGATAAACGATACCGAAAATCTTCACTGCCTCCTGAACTAAAACTGTTGATGATAGATGATATTACAAAACCATATATTTTCTACGTCATTTTTTATATTTGTACTTAAATTATTTCTGTTGTTATTAATCAACCAAGTTACTAAAAAAAATAGGAGTGATACTAAATAGATATTATTTAAATAATTACGGCATAATTGATAATATGACTCAAATAGCTTTTTTTTAATATTATCTCTAATTTATTACCCTACTTACTCCTAGTTATTATACAAATAATTTTCTATTTATTAAAAGTAATAATAAATAATATAACCTCTGATAAACAAAGCTTTATTAGATGTTTGATGTATTTCTTTTCATAATTTTAAGTTTGCTGTAATACTAATAACCTCAAAAATATAACTGTAATAAAAATTTGTCTTTTAATCGATAAAATATTTTAATTATTTCTGAAATTGGATTCGAATGCAATAATTTGAGGCAA